CTGAGCGTGGAAAACGCATACCTAAGATGCTTACACTAGCACTCAAACTACCCAGAAAAGCTTGCAACTTACCTGGATCTTTACTTAGCAGCACATTGTCGTCTGCATAATCTAGATCAGACTGTCTGCCACCTGAGAGTAAATCGATACCCCTATCCTCGCATGAGGATAGGGCTGTTTTAACAATTAAATGAATCACAAAGTTAAATAGAAACGGTGAGGGGGTAACCCTATCGAACATCACTTTCCGTGGTAAACTCGGGCGAAAACGTGCCGCAGCTCGGACTCTGCTTCGGCTACTATTGTAGAGGGATTGTAATATTGAAATAAACTTCTTGGGTACACTCTTCAGGGAAAGGCAGCGCCAGGGTTTAGAGTGGTCGACTGAGTCGAAAGCCCCTTTTAGATCGAGGAAGATGGAAATGGTGGGTCTACGAAAACAGTGTCTGTGTTCTAGGATATGACGAAGACTAAAGATGTAGTCGATACTACCTTGACCACGCCTAAAGCCAACCTGGTTCTCACGCGTGGACTGACCACGTGCGGCAGACGATGGACGGACTATGACGTCCGCTAGAAGTTTAGAGGCGATGTTGATTAAACTAATTCCTCTGTGGTTTTCATAAGAGGACCTGTCGCCCTTCTTGTTCACCGATATGATCACTGAATTACATCACTCCGTTGGAACCTCTTCCGTCTCCCACACTGAGCCCAGGAGGTTTGGTAATTCCCAAACCAAGGCTGGGCCTACATCTTTAAAGCCGATGGGGACAGCCCGTCTGGGCCGGAAGCCTTATGCCTTTTAAGGTAAACCGCTACTCCCGATGAAGGACTGGCATCATTTGGGAGTAATTGCCAAGTCGATGTGGAGGGTGATTATTCAGATGTCGAAAGGGGTAGTTGAACTGAGCCTCGAAATATTTAGCCCGGCGGTAAAGACGGCGTTGTTGATGGTGAATCAGTGTGGAGGTGCCTCCGGCAGCGAAACAAATCCTGGTCCAGGTATCGCGGAACAGGAACAGAACATGAAAAATATCTAGTCATTCGAAACCAGTGTATTGCACTGAAGAAAATCA